GGATAGAGGGAGAAAAGGAGGGAAATGAAGGGAGGAAGAGAGGGATAGAGTATGGGAAAGATAATGATTGAAGGAGGAACATGGAGAGAGATAACGGGAGAGGAAAAGGAAGAGAGGTGGAAAGAGTAAGTTAGAGGAAGAGAAAGAGGAAAGGAAAGAGTGAAGAAGGGAAAGGGAGAGGAAGGGAAGAAGAGGGGAGGAAAAGGGGAAAGAGAGAGGGTGGGAGAGGAAATGATTGAGAGTGAGAGAGGGAGATAGTAAAATGGATAAAGACAGGGAGAGATAGAGGGGAGAGAGAGAGAGAGTGTGTGTGAGAGAGAGGGAAAGAGGGAGAAGATGAGACAAAGATGTAGAGGAAGAGGAAAAATGGAAAGAGAGAGGGAGAATAGGAGATAGAGAGCGACAATGAGAAAAAAGAGTGAGAGGGATAAAAGGAGAAAGAGGTTTAAAGGGATAGAGGGAGATTAGGAGATTGAAGGAGAAGGAGGAAGGGAGAAGGAGAGAGAGAGAGATAGAGGGAAAGAGGGAGTGAGAGGGCTAGAGAGGGAGTGAGAGGGCTAGAGAGGGCAAAGGAGAGGGAGAGAGAAAGGGAAAGAGAAAGAGAGGGAGGGAGGGAGAGGGAGAGAGGAAGGGAAAGAGAAAGAAAGAGAGGGAGGGAGAGGGAAGGAGATGGAAATTAAAGGTGAGGGAGGAAGGGAGAAGGAGAGAGAGAAAGGGAGAAAAAGAGATAGATAGAGATAGAGAGAGGGAGAGAGGGTGGGAGAGAAAGGTAGAGAGGGAGAGAAGGAGATAAAGAGAGAGGGAGAATGGGATAGAAGGAGAAAGTATGAGAGAGAGGGCAAATGAAAGGGGAGAGAGAGAGAGAGGAAGAGAGCAAGAGAGGGTGATAGAGAGTTAGAGAGGGAGAAAGAGAGACATGGAAAAAAAAGAAAAAGAGAAAAAAAGAGAGGGTGAGAGAGAAATAGAGGGAGGAGAGAGAGAGAGAGGGAGAGAGGGGGAAGGAGATGAAGAGATAGAGGGAGTGAGAGAGCGGTAAGGGGAGGGGGAGGGAGAGAGGAAGGGATAGAGATAGAAAGAGAGAGGGAAAGGAAGGGAGAGTATGAGGGGAGAACAAAAGGGAGAAAGGGAGAGGGACATAGGGAGAGAGGGAGGGAGATAGAGGGAGAGAAAAAGGAAGGGTGAGGGAGTGAGAGGGAGTAGGAGAGGGAGAGGGAGAAAGAGAGAGGGAGAGAGTATGGGAGATGGAAAGGGGTGGGAGGATAGAGGGGAGAGAGAGATAGAGAAGAAGATAAAGAGAGTGAGACAGAAAGAGAGGGATAAGAAGGGAGAGGTAGAGAAATTGAAAGGGAGAGAGGTAGAAAGGGAAAGGATATTGGGAGAGAGAGAAAGGGAGAGAGGGGGAAAGAGAGAAAATGAGAGAGGGGGAGATAGAAGGAGAAAGGTAAAGAATGAGAGAGGGAGAGAGAGAAAGAGAGATAGAGAAAGGGAGAGAGAGGGAGAGAGGGATGAAGGGAGAGAGTAAGAGAGAGAGAGATGGAAAGAGTGAGGTAGAGAGGAAAATAGATAGAAAGAGAGAGTGAGGGTAAGGGAAAGGGAGAGGGAGAGGGAGAGGGAGAGAGGTGAAGAGGGAGAGAAAGGGAAAGAGGGAGGATGGAAGGGGGAAGATTGAAGAGAGGGAGATTGTTAGAGAGAGGGAAAGAGAGAGAAAAAGAGGGAGGGAGGGAGGAAGACAGAGAGGGAGGAAGGAAGGGAAAAAGTGAGGGAGCTTAAGAGAGAGAGAGAGAGAGAGAGAGATAGAGAGGGGTAAGAAGGAGGAAGGGAGAGGGAGGGAGATTGAGGAAGAAAGGGAGGTAGGGAGTGAGGTCGAGGGAGAGAGGGCGAGAGAGAGAGAATAAGGGATAGAGAGGGGGAACAAGAAAAATAATAAGAGGGACAAAGGTAGAAAAAGGTTGAGAGGGAGAGAGGGGGACAGGAGGGAGAATAGGAGATAAAAGGAGAGGGAGGAAAAAGAAGGAGAGAGGGAGAGAGATTGGGAGAGAGTGAGTAAGAGTGCTGGAGAGAGTGAGAATATTGAGAAAGGGTGAAGGAGCGAGAGTGGGAAAGGAAAAGAGAAAGAAAGAGAGGGAGAGATGCGAGAGGGAGAGGGAGAGATGGAGAGATAGGGAGAGAGGGTCGGAGAGAGAGGTGTAGAGGGAGAGAGGGAGAATGGGATAGAAAGGGAGAGGGTAAGAGAGAGAGGGTGAATAAGGGGGAGAGAGAGAGATAGGAATAGAGCGAGAGAGGGTGATAGAGTGAGAGAGAGGGAGAGGGAGAGGGAGAGAGGGAGAGAGACAAAGAGAAAGAGAAAGAAAAAAAGAGGGTGGAGAGAGAAGGAGCGAGAGAGAGAAGGAAGGGAGGGAGGGAGGGGAGAGGGAGAGATGGAGGAAGTGAGAGAGGAAGACGAAAGGAGGGAGAGAGGGAGGGGGAGAAAGAGAGAGAGAAAGAGGGAAAGGAAAGAAGGGTATAGGTAGAGAAAATGAGGAAGAGAGGGGGACAAAGGGGGAGGGAAGAGGGAAGAGGGAGAGGGAGGGAGAGAAAGGGAGTGATAAAGGGAGAGAGGGATAGGGAGAGGAGGAGAGAGGGAGGGAGATAGAGGGAGAGAAAAAGGAAGGGTGAGGGAGTGAGGGGGAGTAGGAGAGGGAGAGTGAGAAGAATATGGATAAGAGAGAGGGAGAGAGTGTGGGAGAGAGAAGAAGGAGGAGGGAGAGCGAGAGAGAGAAAGGAGAGGGACATACGAAGAAGATAGAGAGAGGGAGATAGAAGAAGCGAGATGAAGGAGGGGAGGTAGAGAAATGAAGAGAGGAAGGCAAAAGTGGGAAGAGTAAGAGAATGAGGAAGGAAACGTTGGAGGGAGATTAGGGGAGAGATAGGGGAGAGAGAAAGAGAGAGAGGAAAAAGAAGGCCGAGATAGGGAGTAAAAGAGCGAGATAGAAAAATGGAGAGAGATACGAGAGAGAGGGAGAGAGTGTGAAGGAGAGAGAGTCGGAGAGAGAGGGAAAGAGAGGGAGAGAGAGGGAGGGAGGGAGAGGGAACGAGAGGGAGAGATGAAGAGAGAGAGAGAGGGGGAGGGAGGGAGAGAGAGTGGGTGAGAGTGAAGGAGAGATAGAGAGAGGGAGAGGGAGAGGGAGAAGGAGAGGGAGAGGGAGAGAGGGAGAGGGAGGGAGAGAGAGGGGGAGGGGGAGAGAGAGAGAAAAAAGAGAGGAGGAAGAGGAAAAGAGAGGGAGGGATAGATAGAGAAAGAGGGAGAGATAGAAGAAGAGTGAGGGAAAGGGAGAGAGATAGAGAGAGAGGGAAGAGAGCACTAGATAGAGAGGATGGAAGTGGAAATTGAGAGGGAGAGAGGGGAGAGAGAGAGAGGGAAAGTGAGAGAGAGGGAGAGAGATGGAGAGAGTGAAAGAGAGCACTAGATAGAGAGAGACATGGAAGAGGAAATTAAGAGGGAGAGAGGGGGAGAGAGAGGAAAGTGAGGGTAGGAGAGGAGAGAGAGAGGGAGAGAGATTAGGAGAAAAAAGGGAACAAGAGAGGGAGGAAGGGAGGGAGGGAAGGAGGAGAGAAAGTGGTAGAGAAAAGGGAGAGGGAGAATGAATGGGTGAGAAGGACGGAAGGAGAAAGTACGGGTGAGAGTGAGGGAGAAATAGAGAGTGAGAGGGAGAGGGAGAGAGGGAGAGGGAGAGATAATGAAAAAGATAGATGGAGCAAGAGGGAGAGAGAGGGAGGGATGAAGAGAGAAGGAGGGATAAAGAGAGAGAGATAGAGGAGAAGAGTGAGAGAGAGGGAGAGACCTAGATAGAGAGAGAAAGAGGGGATGAGAGATTATGAGGGAGAGAGACGAAGAGTGTGAGGGAGAAAGGGGTTAGAGAGAAAGATAAGGAGGGTAGGAGAGAGGGAGAAATAAGGAGAGTGGGGGAGAAAGAGGGAAAGGGGGAGAGAAAGAGGGGGAAATGAAGAGAGAGAATGAGAGGGAGAGAGGGAGGGAGAGGTAGAGAGGGAAAGAGAGGGAGGGAGAGGAAGAGAGGGAGGGAGAGGAAAGGAGGGAGAGAGGGAGAATGAGCAAGAGAGATAAAAGAGAGCGAATGGGAGGGAGAGAGAAGGAGAGATGGAGTGAGAGAGATGGGGAGCGAGACAGAGAGGGAAACAAAAATGAGAGAGAGAGAGAAAGAGAGGGGGATGGAGAGAGGGAGAGAGAGATAGTGGGAGAGGGGGAGAGAATGAGAGGGAAAAGAGAGAGGGAGAGTGGAAGAGAAGGAGGGAAAGGAGGAGAGAGGGAGAGGCAAAAAGGGAGGGAAATGGGGAGAGAGGGAGAGGGAGGAGGTGAGAGATGGAAAGGGAGAGAGAGGAAAATAGAGAGGGAGAGGGAGATAGAGAGAGGAGAGGGGGTGAGGGAGTAAGAGAGAGATGGAGAAAGAAAGGGAGAGGGAGGGAGAGAGTGTGGGGGGTAAGTGGTAGAGGGAGAGAGAGAGGGTGATAAACAAATAAAAGGGAGAAAGGGAGACAGAGAGAGATAGGAAGAGAGATGGGAATTATAGAGTGGGGGAGTGAGGGAGAGAAGAAAGGGGAAAGGGATAAAGAGGGGAATGGAGGGAGAGAGGGAGAGAAGGAGAGAGAGGGAGAGAGGGAGAGATATGGAGAAAGGGAGTGAGGGAGAAAAAGGAAGAGAGAATGTTAGCACCTAATTTTTTTTCCAAAAAAAGAGAGAAAAGAAAGAGAGAGAAATAAATAAAAAAAGAAGAAAAAAAAGAAAAGGGTGTAAAAAAATACAATTGGGGGTACAATTAAAAAGGATGGAGAAGAGAACCAAAATAAAATGGATTACTAAATGAGGGACCAAAATGGATTTTAGCCCAAAAACCTAAAAACCTAGTATAAAAACACCTTTTTCCCCTTAAAAAGAGGTAGCTATTGTTCACCTCCTCCAAAAATAACCTAGCCACCAACCTCCCATTACCCTCTCTCACATGAAGCGTTCCTCCCACAATAGCAAATGAGTTAGTCAAAGAAAAGAAGAAAAGAAAAAGAGTTGAGAATAAGATGAGGGGAGTGGAGGCAGAGCTTCAAACATGGCAAGCACATGGTAGTTGAAGAGGATAATTAGAAGACCCTCTGTTGCTAATTCCAAATAGAGTTGTCTTCAACGTCCCTCGACTTTAATGATCAATAATGATAATATGATCAAGTTAATAATGAGCTAGGTGTCAAGAAAACTGAGGTAGAAGAGCTTTAGAAGAAGAATGTTGATTTGGTAAAGTCTCTTAAAGAGGAATGTGACAACAAGAAAGAATTGGTAGAGCAACTTAAAGAGGCTCGAAAGAGAATTACTTCATTGGAAAAAGACAACCAACGATTGGAGGTAGACCAGCACATGGACAATCCGTATATTTATCTAACATACATAACCACCTATTATAGATATGTGATGAACGTAATGAAAGTCCGATCAAGATGACTAATCAAGCTAATGTGGTTACTCGAGAGTCGATAGCTCTATGAAATTTAAGTAGAAAGGTCTACGAAGGCATAGTACATAACCCCCGCCAATCATTCATGATATACTTAAAGAGATGTGATGACTTGTTGTTTAAGGTGGCCGGACGAGGAAGGGTCTTCGGTGTGTGATGCATCGCCTAGATGTTTTCTTGTAATTCTTTCGCTTTTAGGACATTCATTATTTTTTCTACATGTACTATGAACGAAATAAATTTCACTTGGATTTTCCATTTTGGATCAATAAAGGTTATGGCTTTTTCTTATGGATGATATTTATTTCCTCTCAAAGGATGTGATAATCTATTAAGAATACCGTTAATGATAACAAGGACATTGAATTTGTCGATCCCTGCTCGAATGCCTCCGATCCTTGGATAAGAAATGACTTATTTTGGATAAAACACCTACAAGAGAGTGATCTCCCTAGATTAGAAAACATCTACGATGAGATCGTTCCTTTAAAAACATGATTCACTCTTTATAGAAAACAAGGTGAAGGGTTACTAATGAGATCTCTTCTCTAAATCGATCGACCATAAAGTACAATCTCCGGGGAAGTCTCAATGGTTACTAGTGAAACCATCGTTCACTTTTAAACCAATTCAAAACAATCTTAAGCCATCAACAAAGTCCTTTTATCACCCTCTAAATGAAGGTCATTCCATATCTAATCTCATTTTGAACAAAAACATAGGTCGACCTATCGAAACTACACTTCCCTCGTGCACCCACCACACTAGAGCAAGGAAGAGGATGGAGAACGAAGAAAGGGCTCTACTAGAGTAGAACTACCAAAGGGAGGTGAAGATGCTAGTGGAAGAGATTGCTAGGCTTGCTACTGCTGGAACAAAGTTAGCAAAATTGTATGATACTAGAAGTCACCATCCAAAGAGAAGTCGACTAGCCATGGGCATCCCCGAAGTGTTCACTACCATGGCATCGTCGATCGCTCAAACTACTATTCCAACACACCATTTAGCATGGCCCATAGGGAGCTTATTGATACTGCTAATCATGCTAACCATTAGATGCTAGGGGTGCATATGATTTTGCCTCTCGTTCTTCGACACCTACCTTGGTGTTGCCTCGAGTCGGCCAAGCATCAATGATGGCCACTCTTGATTTTATCACTAAAGAGTTGGCTAAGGAGAAGATGGCTTCATGATTGAAAATAGAGAAGCTCACAACTATTGAGGAGCATTTAAGAGCTATCGATAGTGTAGACATATATAATCCTCTCCTCAACATCAATAAGTGTTTAATGCCAAATGTGATGATTCCTAAAAAGTTCAAGGTGCCCGAGTTTACCAAGTACACCGGGAGCCAATACCCTAAGGCCTACTTAAGGATTTATTTGAATAAAATAGCCGAGTTGGCATATGATGAAAAGCTACCGATCCATTTCTTTCCCAAGAGCCTTAATGGGTTTGCCCTCAACTAATTTATTGACTCGGATTAGTCTAAGATCCGAAAGTGGAAGGATTTGGTGGATGTGTTCATAAGGCAATACAAATTGAACTTGGAGATAATGCCCGATAGATTGAGCTTATAGGCTATAGAAAGGGCTCAAAAGAATCGATCAAGGAATATGCTCAAAGATGGTGAGAAACGAGTATCTCGCATTCATCCGCCCCTTCTAGAGAGAGAATTGATTATCCTTTTTGTTAACACTTTCAAGGCCCCATACTATGATTATTTATTGAGTAACGACTTAGATAATTTGATTGAAATAGTATCGACAATTGATCGGATTGAATAAGCTATCAAGTCGGGAAGGATAACCAACCTTTCGAATCTGGATATAAGGAAAATAACTTTGGTAGGAGGAGAGACTTCAAGGTGCACCGGATTAGAGAGTCTTCCGTTAATCATATAGGAAGATGGAACAAGTCATGGGGAAATGGAAACCAATTCACCTCCTATAGTAATATAGCCAACCTAAACACCTAGTTTACAATCCCTGTAAGCACTTTCCCAAGCAATGTAGCCAAACCGACCACCCAAACATCAACTTTTCCCTAATATCAAATGCCGCACAACCCGTGCCAAACTACCCAAGCACATGCCCTACCCTAACACCAACCTCAAGCAAATTACCAAAACCCATAACTATTCACAAGCCAAATAAGACCAAATCAAAATTTCCCAACAAACGTTACTAGGGGGCAATTTAACAATATATTACCATCACTTCCTATATCCCTCGGTAATCTCTTTAAACATCTTATATTTATTGGCCAAATAGCCATGTGACACTTTCACCACTTCAACTCGCTATTTCCCTATTGGTATAAATCTAATGAAGTCTATGACAACCATAGTGAGGTTAATGGTCATAATATTGAAAATTGTGTGAGCATTAAGAAGAGGGTACAAATTTTGATCAATCAAGGCTTGATAACATTCAAGAATTCCCCAAATGCCTTGAATACCAACTCTAACCCTCTCCCAAATCATGCTATAGGAAGGGTAAACATACTATTAGTAGGAGGGTGGAATATGCTAAAGAAGATCAGCTATGAAAATATCTATGTCTAGGCTATTTAACATATTGAAGGCTAATGGTTTTGATGAAAAGCCTATCAAATCTTAGGCTTCCACCCATGTCGATCGATTTTGTAAATTCCATAAAGCGAGGGGGTCGATGTCAATGATTGTTAAGAGTTTCACTAAGAACTTCAAACCATGTTAACTTTAGGGACCTTAAGGATAGAGAAGAAGGAGACAGAACTAGTGGTGAACACTCGGACCTCATGTTTCAAAAATAAGAAATCGAAATTAGTCAAATATGAGGTGAATGGAATCGGTCCTATGAAGCCGATCTTGAAGGCTCATGCTTCTACAAATGCCAATTATCAAGCCACCCCTTGTAAATATAGGCACTCTCCTCTAGTCGATGGATCAAGTTCTGTGATGAAGATCTCTTCGATGGGATAGTTGATATAGGAGGAGTTATATGATCAAGGAGATGCTTTACTCTATAAGAATTAAGGGAAACGAAGGGGAAGGAAGTCAAAACTACTCCCTTAAATTTTATAGTAAGCAAGCCTATGAAGGAAGAAGAAGTGATGTAATTCTTGAAACTTATGAAACATAACGAGTATAGTATGGTGGAGCAATTAAACAAGACCCCTACTGGCATCTCCCTATTGGCTTTAATACTCGGTTGAGAGCCTCATCGTACGGCACTTTAAAAGGTTCGAATGAGGTGTATGTTCTACACGATATCACCTCCAAATCAATAGAATATCTAGTGGGTAGAGTACAGGTAACTAGCTACTCGTATTTCATATAAGATGAGTTAGGACATTAGGGCACTAGGCATAATAAAGCTTTGCACATTATCGTTAAGTGCAAGGACTACACGATAGCAAAAGTGCTGATCGATAATGGATCTACATTTAACATGCTACCTAAATGTGTGTTAGATCACCTACCAATTGATCCTTCTTATGTGAGGACAAGTAAGATGACATGTGCATATGATAGTATGCTTTGACGAGTCACTAGTAACATAGACATAGATTTTGGCATTGGATCTCATCGGTTCCAAACTACCATGCAAGTAACCGATATCTAGCCTACCTATAACATGCTGCTAGAAAGGCCTTAAATTCATTCTATCGGTGTAGTTACATCATCGTTGCACCAATAATTAAAATACATAGTCGGTGATAGGTCGGTTATCGTAAAGACCAAGGAAGCAATGATGGTGATTCAAATGTGTCGATCTTATATATTGAGACGAGAGGGAACACTGTTAGGGATTTGTATGCCTTCGAGGTGGTCAATGTAGAATTGGTATCGGAGAATTCATAAATGAGAAGGCCAAATTTGTTAGAAGTTGTGAAAATATCGACTAAGTACATGATAAAATGTGGACCACATCCATTTAAGGTGAGTGGTGACTTATCGGAGGTAGGGATCTACATGAAGTCAAGATACGGAGACCACCCCTTTGGGTTAAGCTTCGGGCGATCTAGAAAAGACTATCGAGTGGATGGTAGAGTAGAAACAAGAAAAGAGAATGGCTCATATTGAGGGGCATGACCCAAATGAAGAGAAGATTGATATCCTCCATATCCATGTCACATTTCCAAAGCCTTCATATATAGCTCATGTGAACAATAAGGAATTGAGTCTAGATCAATTGTTTAAAGATATGGTAGTGAACACTCTATAATTTTAAAAAATTGATAATGCAGGCTAGTATGTCCGACCAATGCCAACCTTAGCCGGTGAAAGTACAACTATTCCGCCCAAACTCACAATCAATACATTGGGAGACACCTTTAACCTAGACCGACTTATTCACAAGTTCACTAAGGGAGAAGAGTTGCATAATTGATTTGATGAAGAAGCACCTTCGGTCTTCAAGGACACTAATTATTGGATTATGCAAAGTTTGATTGAATTTTAGCCCTTACTTTCTTTTATTCTTCCTTATTTGCACTTTATTTTCATTCTAGGGACAACCATAATGATCACTTCTTAAAAACCTAAATGATTATTCTAAAAATATTTGGCTTAATTTTGATGAAACCTAAATTGCAATTGATGAGGAATAATGGGATAACAATAACATTCAAGAATTCACTAAACTGGTTGAACAATCAAACAATCCCTTCAATCGCACAAAGAAGACTTGGAAGTAATAAATGTGGGGACCAAGGAGAATAGGAGGGAGCTGAAGATAGGTACCACGATGGAGGGTCCGGAAAAAGAAAAGTTCATTGGACTTCTAGAGAAATCTACGAATGTGTTTGCATTGCATGGTCGGATGTCGATATGCCGAGCTTAGCGGATGTGCTTGCATGGTCATATGCCGACATGCTAGGCTTAGACATCGACATAGTGGAACACGGACTACACTTGAACCCGGGGAGCAAGCCAATGAAATAGAAGTTGAGGCGAACAAGGTCGGATATTCTGCTGAAAGTCAAAGATGAGATAAAAAAATAGTGGGATATTGGATTTTTAGAAGTAGTTGGATATCCTCGGTGCATGTCAAATATCATTGTTATGGGAAAGAAAGACGGCTAAATCCAAATGTGTATGGATTTTCATGATTTGAATAGGGCCAACCAAAAAAATGATTTCTTACTCGCCATATTGACATCTTGGTGGATAACGCAAGTAAAGAATGTGAATTATTCATTTATGGATGGGTTCGGGATGCAACAAGATCAAAATGGCCATAGAGGATAAGGAGAAGACTTTTATCACACCTTGGGGGACCTTCTACTATAAGATTATGCCGTTTGGGTTAAAAAATACCGGAGCCACTTATCGGAGGGCCATGGTCACACTTTTCCATGATGTGATGCACAAAGGTATTAAAGTGTATGTAGATGATATGATGGCTAGCCTTTGATAAAATTAAGTAGTACTTGCAAGATCTGTCATTGTTGGTACCACCGGTTCTTGGGAGGCCTTTGATTTTATACTTGATAATGACAAAGGTAGCTTGGGTTATGTCTTAGGTCGGTGTGATGAATTAAAAGGGAAAGAACAAGCTATTTACTACTTGAGTAAGAAGTTCCCCGACTATGAGTCCCGATATAGTGTGCTTGAGAAGCTCGTGTTATGGCTTGGTGTGGTGTGCAAGAAGGCTTAGATAATTCATGCTTTATTATACCACATGATTGATTTCGAAGATGGATCCACTTAACTATATCTTTGGAAAGCCATACATATCTAGTCATATCACATGATGGTAGGTCATGCTATCTAAGTATGACATTGTGTACATGATGAGAAAGGCGAGTAAAAGGAAGTATCATAGCCTATTAACTAGAAGATGATGCAATCAATGACTATAAACCTCCGAAGTTTAATTTTTTTGATGAGTCAATTATGGCCATAAATGAAGGATCTAAGCTTGGAAGTGGCAAATGGACCATGTATTTTTATGAGGGTAGTGAATGTGAATGGAAATAGAAATGGCATCGGGTCAATCCTTATCTCACCATATAAAAAGTAGTTCTCAATGGCTATCAAATTATAGGTTGAATGCATGAATAACATAATAGAATATTAGGGGTGCGGGCACTAGTTAAAAGAAGCCTTGGAGATGGGAATCCGAAGTTAGATGTGTATGGTGATTCACTACTAATAATCTATCAAGTCGGAGGGGGATGGCAAATGAAAGATGAAAAGTTAAAGTCGTATCGAAATATTTAATAAAGCTAATCGATCGCTTTGATGCGATACGAGTTCACCCATTTGGGGTGAGACAAGAATCACTTCACGGATGCTCTAGCTACACTAACTCGCAATGATAAAGATAGCATATGGTATAAAGATCCATCCCATATGTATTAAGGTTAGAAATACCCCAACACATTCATGTTATTTGATCATGTGCTTCGAAGACCGATAGGAAGACACTTTGGAGGTTAGCAATGGATTTTTATTTAGATGGTGACGTGTTATACACAAGAGGTTTTGATGGAACTTTGTTGAGGTGTTTAGACTATATGCGGAAGGGCCATAAATGCCAAATCTAGGTAGATCGTACAAATGCTAATCCCGCACCCCTCCATAACATGGTGTCTCCTTGGCTATTCCTAATGTGAGAGATGGATGTGATTGGGTCGATAAACTCAAAAACTATTAATTGTAATCGATTCGTCTTGGTAATAATCGATTACTTCACCAAATGGGTTGAAGCGGCATCCTTCACACATATTACCTAAAAAGTTGTTTGTCGATTCGTGTAGAAGGACATCATCTCGTCAATATAGACCTTTGAAGACCTTGATCATAGATAATGCACATAATTTCAATGGCGGGATGATCATAGAATTATGCAAATAGTGGAAAATCAAGCACCATAATTCTTCACCATATAGACCCAAGATGAATGGGGCCATGGAAGGCTGCAAACAAGAATATAAAGAAGATCATATAGAAAATGGAGTCATGTACGGGAATTGGCACGAAATGCTACAATTTGCACTATATGCTTATAAGATGGTAATGAGGATGTCGACGGGGCAAATCCTTAGTCATTGGTATATGGAATGGAGGTAGTGATGCCTATGGAAGTAGAGATACCATCTTTGAGGGTATTAAAAGAAGCGAGCTAGATGGGTAAGAATGGGTCAAAATCGGATATGAACAACTGAATTTATTAGTGAGAAGAGACTAGCGAGTTATTTGTCATGCGCAGCTATATCGGAAAAGAATGGCTCGGGCATATGATAAGAAAGTTTGCATGAGAACCTTTTGTGAAAAGGATCTAGTTTTGAAAAGAGTACTCTTGATTTTGGGGGTAGAAAGAAGTAAGTGGGCACCTAATTATGAGGGTCCATATATGGTGAAAAGAGCATTCTTCGAAGGAGCTCCTTTTGATGAAGATTGATGGTGAAGTCTTGCCAAAGCTAGTGAATTCTAACATTGTAAAAAAATATAATACTTGAGCATACGAAGTTTTTCTTTGTTCCATTACAAAAAAAAAAAAAAGAAATAATCAAAATTATGTTAAATATTTGCTAGTTTAATCATTTTACCTTTTTTTCTCTTTTCTTTTCCTTTTGCCCATCCTATATGAACAATCCTCTATTTTTAATCCATCGAAATGACCTACTCCCTTACAAAGGTGATCAATCCTAGAAAAAAAAACAAAATTATTTATTGATCTCATGTGCAATCTCATCTTTAATGTGATTTATGAAAAATGATAACACAAAAAAGGGCAAATGATATAAATGATAGGAATTTTATTCGCTCTTGATGGATGAAAAGGCATTTTCATGAATCCTTCATGCAAAAGAAAAAAAACGATGAATGACGAGATGATGATAATCAAAGGTTGCTTCAATAGTTTTGGAGTACACCCAACCAATATGCATTGACAAGGAATAAGGCATTTGGGAATGACATTAGAATTACGTGTGTAAAAAGCTAGCCGATAAATGAAAACAAAGTTGATTCAAGAGACGTGTGATTAAGCGGACAAAAAATTCATAATAGCAACCAGCCTAGGAATCACAAACCTATTCCAACGAACATGGATCGCAATCGAGAGAGCAACATATGTTTGGGCGGTAATAATTTATTTTTTAGGTACGTTGCTCACACTCTAGTGCGTTCCCAAAGGAAGATAACTTGCTTGACTACGTGGATGGTCACCTGTGTTAACTCGTAGTCGGAGGAAAGCCTTCTACGATGGACCCGTCGATTGATTCATTTTTTAGCTAATCTTTTATGATTTTCTTTACAAACTTACTAAAAAGCCAAAGAAAAGCCAAATTTTTAATGGCTTCGTGTCGTAAGCTTTATAAAGAGGGGAAAACTGTTAGCACCTAATTTTTTTTCCAAAAAAAGAGAGAAGAGGAAGATAGATGAATAAATAAAAAAAGAAAGAAGAAAAAAATGTAAAGGGAGTAAAAAAATAGAATTGGGGGTGTAATTAAAAAAAGGAGAAAAAAACTCAAATAAAATGGGTTGCAACATAAGGGACCAAAATAGATTTTAGCCAAATAACCCTTAAAAACCTAGTATAAAAACACCCATTTTCCCCCCAAAAAGAGGCAACTATTGTTCACCTCCCCCAAAAATAACCTAGTAGCTAGGCTCCCACTACCCTCTACCACACGCGACCTTTCTCCCCCCAAGCACGCCTACTCGCCCTCTCTCACTCACAACCCTCCTCCCACCAAGCACGCCTTCGCCCTCGGTGCGCCTCGGCCCCTATAGCACTAGCACACCTCTGCCGTTAGTGTGCATCGGGCCCCACATTGCTAGCATGCCTCCCCCCGAGCAAGCCTCGCCCCTATAACACCATCCCTCTCCCTCGTGCTCGCTCTCCCATTTGCGTGCTAGTGTCGTAGGCGGATCTCACTTGCATGCATAGTAGCAGACAGTGTACGACCGGGCCTTAGCATAGCACCACCCATATGCGAACAACCTTCCCTTAGTATGCCTTATTCGCATGCATGTCCCTTTACTAGGCTCTCTCTCGTACGTGTGTAGCGATAGCCAAACCTCCTACTCATACGCATGCCACCTCACCAGTGCTTGTGCGCACTCCTAGCTTTGCATGCTTGCCTTGCCAATGCCCATACACACGATCGCTATCTACTACCCATGCTCCTACCTCACCCGACCCATAACGCCTCACCTCTACCTATGCAATAGCACCTCACCTAGCATGCTATGCTTGCTCACAACCTCACAGTGCCTCTAGCAACCATTAAGCCATACACTCCGGATCCAACAACCACCACTCCCAGTCATCTTTCCTCCGTAATTAACCGAACATTAGTCTCTATCGGGGTTAGAAAGGGTCCGAGCAATTCTAAATTCAATGGACCGATCCGCCTCTTTTGTTTTTTTACGGTAATTTTTTTTCCTTTTCATTTTACTTTATTTTATTTTTATTTTAACCTATATTATATGTGATTCATATCAATATGTGTTTACAATCGATTAATTAACTATAGTGTGTAATTAATTAAATGTGTTGTTGATGTGTGTTCATTTGAATGGTCATGATGCGTGTTGTTATCATGTTTGGAATTTGGAAGGATGTATTGGTTTCAATGTTAGGATACCGGCTATTATTTGGAATTTATACTTCTAAAGCGTGTCTTTGTGGTAACTTTATCAAAAAAGGGCACAACGTCAAATCAAGCAAGTTTGAATTTTTTCCATGTAAATCTATTTTTGTCAAACATAATCAATTATGTACTTCAAGCAATTAATTTTGTCGATTTGTGTTTTTGTCAATTCTAGTCCGATTGCTAATTTTTATCAATTTTTACCTATATTTGCTTAAGTTTGTCAATTTTTGTCTATTCTTGCCTAAATTTATCAATTTGTGCTTATGATTTCCTACATTGTTGATTTTTATGATTACCTACATCGTCAATTTTTACTCTATTTTGACTAAATCATTGATTTTTGCCTATGATTGCCTAAATTGTCGATTTTTGCCTATGACTTGCCTAAATTATTGATTTTTACTTATTTCTCGCCTAAATCATCGATTTTTGCCTATAATTGCCTAAATTGTCAATTTTTATCTATTTTTACCTAAATTGCCAATTTTCATCTATGTTTGCCGAATGGTCGACTTTTTTCCTATTTTTGCCCAATCATTGACTTTTGTCGGTTTGCCACTTTTGTCATTATTTGCTCGTTTACCTATTTTGCAAAGTCTCGCCTATTTTTGCTTATTTGTCAATTTTTGTCCACTTGCCAGTTTTATCTATTTTGCTATCCTCACATTCATCACTTTTAGCCATCCATTACAGAGTGAGGACGAGATCTCTAATCGATCAAGTCTTGAATCACTCAACTAGGTGTAAATGCTTAAAATAGTTGGTCTTTCATCATTTAAAAAGAAAAAATTAGAAATTGAATTAATATTGTATGCAATGCGACTTGCCTTTAAGCAAGATGGGGTAGGGTGATTTTTAATCTTCCCTATGCGTAATAAACCCCTTACCTACCTAAAACTCGAATAAGCTATTCATAGGATTTCTTAGTAACCGTAATGCTAGGTGGTGACTCTAGTCATTTTTTGCCCTTTTGCCCATTTTTGCCTAAATTTATCACCTTCGCCCTCGACGTTGCTCTATGATAGAGAAAAAGAGAGAGGGATAGAGAGAGGAAAAGAGAAAGAGGGAGAGGGAGAGGGATAAAGAGGGAGGAGAGAAGGGGAGATATAGAGGGAGAAAGGGAGAGGGAGACCTCTCATCCTCTCTTTAGGATCTAGAAATCAAGCAAAACACATGAACGCATCCACCTACACAAGAACATCTTCGACTACCTCTTCGGGATAAGAATTAGTACGATATGTCAATTATATAATAATGCTAGTTTCTTTTATTAGGCCCTAGATTTAATGAAGCATAAATGAAATATGACATAACATCTATAGATGCTCCTAAATCTAACTTGACCTTTTCAATTTTGGCATTACCAATTTTATAAGGTATAGTAAACATTCCTAAATCCTTGCATTTTAGAGGGAGTATCCCTTGAAAAATGATTGAGATATTTTCTCTCATTCTTTCTTTTTCATTGACATCTAGTCTCCTCTTATTAGTGCACAAGTCCTTTAAGAACTTAGCATACCTTGGCACTTGGTTGATTACGTCTAAGAGAACTAAATTAGCCTTAACCTTATGAAATAGCTTAAGAATCTCCCTATCTTTTTCCTTTCCCATTTCTTCCTTTTTAGATTTCTCCAACATGCTATGAAATGGTGTAATGTTGGTTGTAAACTAAATTGAACTATTAGAATTTACGTTAGAACTTGATACAACCCCTTCAAATAACATATTTTGCTTCTTTATTTCTAGCTCAAGCTCTTCTTCATCTGTTGCCTCAAAGACTACCTTGCTAGGTTTCTTTGGCCGAGCACCACTTCTTAATATCATTGCACTCACATTCTCCTTTAGGTTTGCTATATTTTGGGATGGCAAATTTCCTTTGGATTAAGCCTTTGAATTACTCATAATAGTTGCTAATTGACTCATCGGATTCTTCAAGTTCCGGATGCTCTTTTGTTGGAATTGCTTTCTGTTTAAAGCAAAAGACTTCACTATGTCCTCTAATGACTAATTAGAATGGTGGGGGCATGCTTGTTGATAAGGTTTGGGTTGATGACCCTATTACGTTTATCGATAAAATTTTTGCCCTCTTTTCTAATTACCTTTATAAGTTAGAATTGAATGGTCTCTCCAACTAGGATTGTGCATGCTAGAGCATAGGCCATATGGCCTTCACGAGACCACTAAAATTTCCAACGAGCATGGACTTGCTTAGTATGTCCCTCTTGGAGTGTTGGACATGTATTATTGGCATGGTTTGAAAATGAGCGAGATCCCACAAGCTTTAACAACTTGCGGATTTTGCGTAACAATTTTCCTTACTAATAAAGTCATGTCGGATATTTGTTGCTTCGGACTAGATATGTTGACCTCATTGATCCTCTTTGGTGCATGATCCAACCTTGCACCAAATTACTTACAAGTTGCTACCGTATTACAAATCAAGATCTTTGTAGCATTAGGGGTATTATCTACCAATTCTCCTCCATTAGCAACATTAATCATGCTCATTTCCATAGGTAACAAATACTTATAAAAATACATGATGAATAGTTTATCGGAGATTTGATGGTGTGGGCAGTGACACACAACTTCTTAAACCACTCTTAGTACTTCATTAATTTATTGAATACCAAAAATCTCCTTCCTTAAACTAGCGACTCTCAATGTAATGAAATATTCTAATATGAAGGCCTTCTTCATCTTGTACTAAGAGTCAATTGATCATATAAGAAAACCATATAACCAACCCTTTACATCCACATCTAGTGAGAATGGAAGTTTTTATGTGGGTTTTCTCCAGCAAGACTATAGAATTTAGGCGAGTAAATGTATCAATCTTGACTTCGACTCAAAAGCCACATCTAGATTTGAGAACTCAATACATAAGGGCTATTAATTTAGATCGAAGAAGCTAGTCGTTTTAAGGTTTTGTTCGCGACCATTATTTACCCTTTAGAATTACTCGATGAAAAAAACGTAAGAATGTAGTTTTGCTTGATGAAGCGATAACTACACTCTCGGATGTTTCAATTTGCTTTATTAATGCTTATCTAGCTTGTATAATCAACTTATGAAATATTCTTTCTAGTTTAAGGTTAAATATTAGGTCACTTGTATGAGATCCGTCATACACCAACATGATACAAACAATAAGAAATAGTCAAAATGTTAAGAACTAGTCAATTTTAATGCAACTCCTCGGCAATGATATGCTAAAATTTGATTACGTGTCATATCATCAATAAATTTAATTATTTCTTTTTTCTTACTAATCCTAATCACATTACTATAATTAGGTAAAACAAGCATCGATCCCACAAATAATCTATTTTTAATCCAATAACAACATTAAATGATAGAAAGATAAGTGAAGCTAAATAATCTCTTAGAAGCCGGAAGAATTTAATCTAGTTCTATGTTTTTCAAGTGATTAAACAAAAACCCATTTATAATCATTATCCCTTAGTTTCTACCATAAGCAAGTTTAGACAAGCAGTTATGAAATTGAATTCTTAGTTAGCAATAGTATAAAGATTAATTAACTAGCATGCACTCTAATCAATCAATCATACAAGCATATTCATATAACATAGAAAAGTATAAAATACCCAAAAGAATAAGATTAGAAATAGAACTTTTTTAGATCTCATAGTGATTTTACTAAAGGCTTCAACTTTTCTTTCCACCAATAAAGGTTTTTAGTGTTGTATGGTTTGCTTACAAAAGATTATTTTTATTTATGGATGTTAAATGAAAGAATTAATAAAGTGAAACCATAAATTTTTTATTTATAGAAAAATTAAGGTTATAGCACACATAACCTTTTCAAGATGTCACACGACTTATTTTTTATGACAAATAGTTTTCTCTTTCGGTTTACATGATTTGGAGCCTTGAATAACCGATGGCACATGGCTTACTTGAGTAAGGCACATGACTATGCAACATTTACTCTTCATCCTATGTCCTTTTAGTTTCTACTCGTGTGTCATTTCTTTCTCCTTTGGAAGACATCTCGGCATTGACACAAACGGGTGTGTCATTTCTTCCGCCCAAACCATGTTGATTGCTACTGCTCGTGTGTCTTCTTTGTTGAACATCCATATGGTTCCCTTCTTTTTTCCCATGGCCGGTAGCTTTTTCCTCTTATTTTCCATTTTTCCTAAAAAACTCAAAATTTCTATCTTTTTCTTAATTATCTTAATATGATACAATAAGTACTAGTAAGTTTAATATAAAAGGACATAAAATTTTTGTAAATTATGCATCAATTAGAGAAAAAGAGAGAGGGAGAGATAGAAAGAGAGAGGGGGAAGAGGGGGAGAGAGAGAGAGAGGAGGGAGAGGGAGGGAGAGAGGAGAGAGATAGAGAGAGAAGAGAGAGGTAAGAAAGAGTGTGATAAAGAGGGAGAGAAAGAGAGGGAGAAGGAGAGAGGGAGGAAGAGGGAGAAGGAGAGAGGGAGGAAAAGGGAGAAGGAGAGAGGAGAGAGGGAAAGAGAGGGAGAGAGGAACGAGAGGGAAAGATAAAGAGAAGGAGAGAGAGAGGGAGGGATAGGGAGAGAGAG